AATGGCGCAGTCTCAACTCACCACAACATCCACTCCCCGGGTTTCAATGATCCTCCTGCCTCAGCCTCCCAAGTAGCTGGGATTACAGGCGCCCACCAGTATGCCCAGCTAAGTTTTGTATTTTTAGTAGAGATGGAATTTCACCATGTTGGCCAGGTTAGTCTTGAACTCCTGACCTCAGGTGACCCACCCATCTTGGGCACCCAAAGTGCTGGGATTACAGGCATGAGACACAACGGCCAGCCTGGATAAGTATATTTAATTTCCCTTCTGGTGTTGCTGTAGCTGTGAAACAAAAATTAACATTCAATTCTTACAATTTCTTTTTTTTTTTTTTTTTTTTGAGGCGGAGTCTCCCTCTGTCGCCCAGGCTGGGGTGCAGTGGCCGGATCTCAGCTCACTGCAAGCTCCGCCTCCCAGGTTTACGCCATTCTCCTGCCTCAGCCTCCCGAGTAGCTGGGACTACAGGCGCCCGCCACCTCGCCTGGCTAGATTTTTTTGTATTTTTTAGTAGAGACGGGGTTTTACCGTGTTAGCCAGGATGGTCTTGATCTCCTGACCTTGTGATCCGCCCATCTCGGCTTCCCAAAGTGCTGGGATTACAGGCTTGAGCCACCGCGCCCGGCCACAATTTCTTAATTTATCTTATGATTGCCTGCTAATACGTTAATTAGTTTGCAAACATGGCATTTTAAAAGTTTTTCATCAGAAATTTCTACTTTTATTGCCTTTTAGCTAGAGGACATGTTCTGTATTATATTGATCCCTTGGAATTTATTGAGGCTCTCTTCATGGTCCAGTATAGTTTTGTAAATGTTCCTGGTGTGCTCAAAAAGAATTGCTCGGCCGGGCACAGTGGCTCACGCCTGTAATCCAAGTACTTTGAGAGGTCGAGGTGGGTGGATTATCTGAGGTTGGAATTCGAGACCAGCCTGACAAACATGACGAGACTCCATCTCTACTAAAAATACAAAAACTAGCCAGGCATGGTGGTGGGCACCTGTAGTCCCAGCTACTCAGGAGGCTGAGGCAGGAGAATCGCTTGAACCCAGGAGGCAGAGATTGCAGTGAGCCAAGATTGCACCACTATAGTCCACCCTCGGTGACGGAGCAAGACTCTGTCACACACACAAAAAGAATTGCTCAAGCTTATTAATTTTACTGTTCAGATCATCTACATATCCACTTTTTAAAAATCTGTTTGATTTATTGGTTTATAAGAGAATTTTTTTAAAAACTCTCCAAATACAAGTAAAAGTCGTTTATTCTTCCCTTCTGTCAAATGTCACACTGTGCGCAGTATGTGGAGGTTATGTTGCAGGGGCACATATTGTTTTAAAATAATTAGATCTTTACATGTGAGTGAGTTTTTCTGTATATAATGTCCATCGTTGTTCTTTATGGTATTTTTTTCTTAATTTTCATTGTATTAGTTACTAGGATCACTATCTTAGCTTTCTTTTCATTCAAAGTTACATGGTATTTCTAACGTTCTTTATTTTCAGTCTTTTGGTGCTTTTTAAGTTGTCTCAAATCAATATATTGTCTCATTGGATTTTTAATTCTTAGATTTATCTTTTTAATTGCTAAGCTTGACCTAATTACATTTATTGTTATTATTTTCATCTTATTTCAGTTTCCATCAACTGTACTTTCTTTTGTTTTGCTTCACAGTTTTACATTACATCTAAGTTCTATTCTCTTTTTTTTTTTTTTTTTGAGATGGAGTCCCACTCTGTCACCCAGGCTAGAATGCAATGGCACTATCTTAGCTCACTGCAGCCTCCGCTTCCTGGGTTCAAGCAATTCTCCTGCCTCAGCCTCCTGAGTAGCTGGGATTACAGGCATGTGCCACCATACCCAGCTAATTTTTGTATTTTTAGTAGAGACAGGGTTTCTTCATGTTGGCCAGGCTGGTCTCAAACTCCTGACCTCAGGGGATCCACCTGCCTCAGCCTCCCAAAGTGCTGGGATTATAGGCGTGAGCCACCGCGCCCGGCCTATGTTCAATGCTGAGTTAATTTTTGTATGAGGTGAGAGATATAGGCTGAGGTTCACTTTTTTGCCTATTGAGGCCCTACTGTGCCGGCACCCTTTGTTGAATGGCCTCTCCTTCCTCCACTGAATTGCTTGTGTATCTTTATTAAAAATCAAAAGGCTGTAGCTGTGTGGGTCTCGCTCCAGTGTCTCCGTTTAGCTCCATCCGTGTGTCTCTTCCTCCATGAGCACCACGTAGTCTTGATGACTGTACCTTTTCAGCAAGCCATGACGCCGGCTACAGTGATTTCTCCTACGTCTTTTTTCCAAAACGTTCTAGTCATCTGAGGTCTTTTACACACATACACACACATATAGTACCTTGTTTATGTCCACAAGAAGACACACTGGGATTTTGATAGGAATTACATTACATCTGTAGATCAGTTTTGGGAGAATGGACATTCCCGGCATTTTGTAAATTTTGTCACACAGACCTGGTACATGTTGTGCTACAAGTATATCGAAGTACTTTCTTCCCTTAAAGTGACTGGGGTGGTGGTGTGCTTTGAACCTGGGTTTCCACATGTTCGTGTTCGTGTAGAGAAATGCAGTTGATGTCTACGTGCTTCTTGCTTATTTTCATTCTCTCCTTTGCTTTCTGTTGGGCACATCCAGTTTTCTTCTGTTGGTTTAAAAGTTGTGTTTTTGTTCTTGTTTTGCCTGCCCTCAGGGCCATTTCCGAGACTTGAAATGTTTGTTTGCTTTTCTAATTTCCCCAGTTTCCCCAGGCAGCAGGTCGGTGCCAGAGGTGTCTAGGCCATGCAGGGTCACTGTCCTGACAGCAGCTCACCCAGCAATCTTCAGCAGAGGCGAAGCCTTCCAGCCCTCTGTCATTCTCTCAGTCCGTCACCTCCACTGAGACTGTGGTGGGCACTGGCCCTGTGCCATTTGGCAGTTGCTTCCAGCCCCGGGCACGGATTGCTCCCATTTCCAGGCAGCCCCACCTATTCCTCCCCCAGGTCAGTAAGGAGGAGAATCCCGCAGGCCCCAGCTCGGGCAGGTCTCTTTTCTTGTGGCCACACACAGGTAACTAACTCTGTGGATCCTGGTGTCCCCTCTGGTCTGGCCGCAACTGCTTTCTCAGATAACTGGCTTTATCCTCGTTAACTTGGAGAGTCTTAGAACTAGAGTTTACCTGAGAAGAAAGGCCCTTAAAGACCATTTGGTCAATTTTTATTGATTTATTATTATTTTAAATAGAGACAAGTTCTCCCTATGTTGCCCAGGCTGGCCTCGAACTCCTGGGCTCAAGCGATCCTCCTGCCTGCGGTTCCCAAAGCGCCAGGATTACCAGTATGAGCCACAGCACCCGGCCTAGCCCAGTCGTTTTCAACCCCAGTGAACACATTAAACTGAAATGGAGAGTTGTAAAAATATCAATGTCTGGGTCCCCACTCCCCCGGCCCAATCAGTTAAATTAGCATTTCTTGGGGGGGGACTGGACATCAGTGTTTTTAAAAGCTCTCCAGGGCCGGGCATGGTGGCTCACGCCTGTAATCCCAGCATTTTGGGAGGCCGAGGCAGGTGGATCATGAGGTCAGTCAGGAGTTCGAGACCAGCCTGGTCAACATGGTGAAACCCCATCTCTACTAGTGTGCACCTGTAATCCCAGCTACTCAGGAGACTGAGGCTGGAGAACCACTTGAACCTGGGAGGCAGAGGTTGCAGTGAGCCAAGATCGTGCCATTGCACTCCAGCCTGGAAGATAGAGTGAGACTCCATCTCAAAAAAAAAAAAAAAAAAAAAAAGGCTCCCCAGGAGATGCAAATATGCAGCCAGGGTGTAGAACCACTGCTCTCATCCAATCCCTTCAGTTTACTGATGTCCCCTGGGTTAGTCAGGGTTCTCCAGAGACAGAACTAATAGGATGTGTATATAGATACAGATAGATGAGAAGGGGCTCACTAAGGATTTGGCTTCTGTGGTCATCGAGGCTGAGGAGTCCCATGGCAGACCTGCAAGCTGAGAAGGGAAGCCGGCCTGGCTCAGTCCAGGTCTCAAGGCCTCAGAACCAGGGAAGCTGATGGCGGGATCCTCAGTACAGGGCTAATGGCCCGAGAATCTGGAGGGCCACTGATGTAAGTCTCAGAGTCCAAAGGCCTGAGAACCTGGAACTGATGTCCAGGGGCAGGAGAAGGGTGTCCCAGCTCCAGGAGAGACAGAGAATTCACCTGTCCTCTGCCTTTTTATTCCATCTGGGTCCCCAGCTGATTAGGTCGTGCCCGCCCACACTGAGGGCGGATCTTCCCCACACAGTCCATCCACTCAGTGACCCATCTCCTCCAGAACGTCTCACAGACACACCCAGAAATCGTGCTTCGCCAGCCATCTGGGTATCTCTTCATCCGGTCATCGACACCTAAAATTAACCGTCACACCCAGAGAGGAGAAGAGACTTGCCTGAGACCACACAGAGAGCTAAGCTGATTGTGGGCTTTAGATGAATTTTCTCAGCTTTATCTCACCACCATTCATTTTCATCAGGTACTTCATGATTTCAAATCAGAGCATCCTTGACTTATTTCTGTCTCATCCAATTAGGCCCATGAGGCCAGGTTAAGCCAGAGCCTCTTTCTTACTGCTGTTCGTGATGGTGTAACATTGTTCTGAAACAGCTTCCCCCCGCGACACTGTGCGCTCGTTCTGGGCTGAACCAACACTTCCTGGGTCTCTGGCTGCTTCCCCACAGAGCTAATGGTGGCCTCCGCACCGAGCACCGTGGAAACCGCTGTCCTCCAGGACAGTGGAGAACAGAAAAAAGCACCTGGCTTTTGGAGTCAGACCTAGATTTAAATCGTGGCTCCACCATGTAAACCTTTCAGACCCCTCAGTTTCCTCCTCTGTGATATGAGCTAAACGTATCTACCTCTTAGCTGGGCTTGCTGGACGGCTGGTCAAGCCTCCCCTGCAGCGTCCCCGGCTTGCACAGGCTCTTCCCAAAGCCCTGTGAAAGGCTCTAGTGGCTTCGTGGTTGTGTTTTTTGTTCTTTTTCATAAACAGAGTATCCCCCCCCAACACACACAGCTTTAGACCCTGCCAAACTTGGATCTGCTCCCCCCCGCCCCACAGAGTTGCTCTGGGAGTTAAGATTCTATTTATAAGGCATGTGACATATAATAGGTGCTCAATAAATGGTACTTCCCTCCAGAAGTGCCCAGAAGAGGGATGGAAGGACAGACAGAACAGCAGGCGGTATGCTTGTTACATGACCCTTTAATGTCGCATCCATCGCCATGCAAAAGCCTAACCCCGCAGGGAGGGTCGCTATGGTGCCCGGCTCTTGGTGAGGGCTTCCTTGTCTCTGATGTGCCCGTGGATCCAGTCCAGGTAGCGGCTGACTTTGGTGTAAACGCCGTAGTTGTGAAGGAGCCCACAGCCCTCACCCCAGCTCACCAGGCCCACCAGGAACCAGGTGCCATGGAAGGAGGCGACCATGGGCCCCCCACTGTCGCCCTCGCAGGCGTCCTGCCGGTCCCCGAGGATGCCCGCACACAGCATGTTCTCAGACACCATGTTGCTCATGACCTCGCTGCACTCATTGCGCGGGACCACGGGAATCTTGATGAAGTTGAGGATGAAGGTGCGGTTTCTCTTGGCCTCCTTCTCTCGGCTGCTGTGGTAGCCCCAGCCCGTCACAAGGGTCTCCTGGCCGGCCTGAGTGAGCTCGCGCTCTGCAAGGCCGCTGTCCGGGAGACAGATGGGCACGATGGTCTGCGAGAGGGTGGCGGGCTGGGCCAGGCGCAGCAGCGCGATGTCATTGTCAGTGGTGCTCTTGGTGTAGTTGGGGTGGATGAAGACCTCCTCGATGTCCAGGTCCAGCTCCCACTTCTCCCAGCGCCGCAGGTCATACTCTCCTGCAGGGCAGAGGGCCCGGTCAGAATGGGCTGCGGGAAACCTCTCCCCAGCGGCACTTTCCCGAGGCCCACCCACTGCTGTGCCCATGCAGGCCTGGGCAGAGGGCCTAAAGAAGGTCCACCAGGAGACTCTGCACCCACACGTCCCAGGTGCTGTCGGGGAGCCACCTGTCTATGCCACGGATCCCTATCAACGGTGACTTTTCCTGCCACAAGGAGTGGCCAACGGATGTCAATCCCGAAGTGGCAGGAGGCTGGTCCGTTTTCGGGAGTCATGGAGCCGTGAGACCAGAGAAGGAATGGGCAGCAGGGAAGCCCGAGGCCCCTGGAAACCGCGGACACAGACCAGAGCCACAAAGGAACGTGGAGCAAAGGTAGCTGGAGAGACCCCGGGGGCAGTGAGACCCAGAAAGGAGGACCCCCAGAACACGGCACTGCCAGGGAGGACAGGGCTGGGTCCCACCTGGGAGAGAAGGTCCTCTCAGTCCAGACCGATGGTTCCTGGGGAAGAGCACCTGGGAATTCTAAGCCAAGCCCCACGGGGGGCCACTGGCCATAGATTATGCTGTAGGAAATGTGAATTTGGTCTTTCTCAATATGCTTTTTCTTCTTTTTGGCATAAAGAGTTGAGCCAGACCCCTCCCCCCCCCCGAAGAAACTGCCATAGATCAGGGCCAATGCATAGGTGCCCCCAGCCTGCTAGGGAAGCAGCCTGTGGCTTTGGCAGACGCTAGGCACCAGAGAACCCCCTACTGCAAAATACTAGCTGTCACAGCTGGGTGGGGTGGGGGCACCTAGGCCTCTTCCCCCCAAACACCTTCTGTGGAGCTCAAGAAGCCTCTTGCTTAAGCACCTGGGGAGCGGGGTCCCCCAAATCTGAACAGCCTGCCTGGTCCCCCTACCCAGGCCTCTGGCAGCCCCCTCCTGCCTGGCTCCAGCCCATACCAAGCCTGACAAGGAGCTTCTTGGAGTCCTCCATGCAGTGGGCCGCTGTCAGCACCCAGGAGGGGTGGATGAGCACTGCCCCGCAGGCCAGCTTCTTCTTTGAGTCCAGCAGGACCACCTGGAATGGGGTGGGGTGATGACGTCACAGGGCTGCCTCCTGGCAGCCTCCAGTCCAGGGCACCTGGGTCTCATATGCACTTTCCTGGGTTCCCTGGTCACATAGGCACAGGCTTAGGCCCTTTCTGGTATTTTCTATTTTTGCCCATTTTACAGAGTTAGCCTGTCCCAGGGTGTCTTCCTGACTTTGCCCATGCTGTTCCTGTACCGTTCATACTGTTCCAGTCACCCTGAGCCACACCCAACATCACCCAGCGAGCTCCTCGCATCCTGAGAGGCTTGGCCAGGCTTTGTGTGTCTTCCCGGAAGACTTTGTGGCCCCCAGGTTGCCTGGATGTTCCCCTTGGGCCTCCCTCAGCCCCTGTCTCGCAGGGCCGTCCTGGCTCTGGTGCCACTGGGCTGCCCGGTCTTGGGGGTCCTGACCCTCGCAGAGTCTGAGTTCCCAGGGCCAATACCCCCATTTGTTGGTTTCCATCTCCCCCATGCCTGGCAGAGAGGGGAACCCAGTAAGTGTCAGTTCCCATGTGGAACTGGAGGTGTCCTCAGGCCCAGCCCTTCCTCCAGCCTTCTCCCATCAGCAGGGCTCCTGCCTAAAATCCCACCAGCAGAGCAGCGTCTTTCCAGCTCCTTTTAGAAACGGTAACCCTCCCTCCTGCAGACCCCTCCATCCCCCTCCCCTCACCCGCCCTGGCTGCTCCTCTCCCCTCAGGTTGTGTCCATCTTTCCCTGAAGCATCCCCCACCTTTATCATCCCCTGCAAGCAACTGCAGTGCTTCCCTCCCGGTCTCTGCCAGGATGGGCTTAGTGACCCCAGACCCAGTGCGTGAGCAGCCAGTGCTGCCTTGCCTCCCACCTGCCAGGGGCTGTCTCCCCGCCTGGTCATCTTCCCATCAATGAGCCGCGGATCTACTTGGTCTTCTTGGTCTTCTGTGTCTCGTCGTTTCAGGTGACTGCGCTTCTTCTCTATCCGCCTCCACGGCCTCCCGCAAGGGAACTTCACTGAGGCAGGCAGAGGCGGTGAGGGGCCTGCGAGGCACTCCTCCCGAGATTGCCCTCCTGTCTTGGTCCTCCTCCTGCCTGCAGGCCACTTTGCCACAGTGCAGGGTTCAAGGAACCAATGACACTTAGACCACTCCATTAACATTGGCTATAAACCCCTCCAGGCAGTCAGTCAGTCAGTCAACAAACAGTGCCACCGAATGGCAAGTCAGACCAGGCGGCATCACCCGCCGGCTGTGTGTCCTTACATAGGTGGTTAAACTTCTTGAAGGCTCATTGTACCCCAGGGCTGTTGGGGGTGATCCCTGAGATACAAACTACAAACCCCCTCCAGTCAGTCAGTCAGTCAGTCAACAAACATTACCGCCCAATGGCAAGAGTCAGGCCAGGCAGCATCGCCCACTGGCTGTGTCTCTTTACATAGGTGGTTAAAATTCTTGAAGGCTCATTGTACCCCAGGGCTGTTGGGGGTGGTCCCTGGGATTAGTAAGGCTTTATGCTGGGATGCTGCCGAGCTCCTCACAGAGGAAAGGAATTATAGGGAGAAGGAGGTGAGCATTCTTGGAGAGCCCTTACAGTAGGCTGGGCATGTTTGTGAAGCCTCCCTGCCAAGAAGAGAGTGCATACACCATGGAGAACTGAAGGCTGGAAGGTAGGCCCGACTCTGCTCAAAATGGGCCTTGAATGCCAAGTCCAGATATCTAGACTTAAAGGGGCAATGGGACGCCGTCAGCAGGGGAGCTGCATAATGACAAGAGAATGGAGAGGACACAACAGCAACACGATTCCAGAAGCTGACAGCAGAGAGATGGATGCAGTCAGTGACTTGGCAGACTGGAAAGCAAAAATCTCAGCCCGTGATGGGCTGAGGAGAACCACAGGAGGCTGTGGGGCTGCCGGGAAGGCAGTGCAGGTGGGAGGGCATGTTGAGAGTTTGTAAGAGAAATTGAGAGCCCTCCTCACTGGCTTGACTCCCCTCTCCCTGCCTGCAGAAAGTGAACCAGTAACTCTGACTAGGGACTCCAGGCCTCGCCTCAGGAAGGAGTACGGCTCTTCGCTGACCACAGGGAGTCACGCAAATGTTCACAGCCTGCGCAGGCGCCAGCTCCCCTGCCCCACCCTGCTCCGAGGGGCCGAACAGCATGGGTGAGCATCCTCCATCCTTCAAGAGCTTGGAGGAATCCTCTTGGAAAGCAGCCTAAAAGGAAAGCCCTTGGCCGGGCGCGGAGGCTCAAGCCTGTAATCCCAGCACTTTGGGAGGCCGAGACGGGCGGATCACGAGGTCAGGAGATCAAGACCATCCTGGCTAACACGGTGAAACCCCGTCTCTACTAAAAAATACAAGAAACTAGCCGGGCGAGGTGGCGGAGCTGAGATCCGGCCATTGCACTCCAGCCTGGGCGGCAGAGCGAGACTCCGTCTCAAAAAAAAAAAGAAAAAAAAAAGCCCTCACGATCTGGGGTTCTGCCAATGACAGGGCCTTCCCACCACCTTGCAGGAAACCCACAAGCCAACAGGCCCACCAGGCATTTCTTTGCAGCTTCCTGGAAATCTCTAATTATTTCAAAATAAAAAGTTAAATTTTTAAATCTTTTTTTTTCCTTTTTAAAAAAATAGAGACAGGGTCTCACTGTGTTGCCCAGGCTGGTCTCAAACTCCCAAGCTCAAGCAATCCTCGCACCTCAGCCTCTCAAAGTGCTGGAATTAGAGGTCTGAGCTACTGAGCCTGGCCAAAAATTTTTTTCTGCAGAAGAATTGAATTATAAAGTTTAGAAAGTTCCCTGAAAGAGTCTGGGCGAGGGAACTCATGCGCCGGGTTGGCAGGCCTGTAATCTGAGCACTTTGGGAGGCCAAGGTGGGTGGATCACCTGAGGTCAGGAGTTCAAGACCAGCTTGACCAACATGGAGAAACCCCGTTCTATTAAAAATACAAAATTAGCTGGGCGTGGTGGTGCATGTCTGTAATCCCAGCTACTCGGGAGGCTGAGGCAGGAGAATCGCTTGAACCTGGGAGGCAGAGGTTGCGGTGAGCCGAGATCGCACCATTGCACTCCAGCCTGGACAACCAGAGTGAAACTCCATCTCAAAAAAAAAAAAAAAAAAAATTAAAAAAGAAAGTTCCCTGAAAGAAAACACAAAGTCAAAGAGATGGGAAATAGAAGAGACAATAAAACTAGAGGAAAGAGGTCTGAATAATGGGAGGTCCAGAAAGAGAAAACAGAGGAAGTAAAGGGGAGATTATAGAAGAAATAAGTACCAAGTGTCCCTAGAGGTAGAAGATAGGAATTTCCGCATTAAAAGGGTTCACCTTTTAATGACCCACGCCAAGGAACAGCATGCTGAAATATGTAACACTTGTAAAACTCTGACTTTTAAAGTTTCGTACACATATGAATTTGATTAAAATGCATAAAAAGGAAAATATAAAAGAAAGCAGAATCAGGGTTCTGTTCTCTCCTCAAGGAAGCAAGCGGGTAGAGAGGGAAATGCGATGCACGCCGGACCACGTCAGAGAAAATAAACGCAGCCAAGGCTACGTGGAGGAGAACGCTGCAGACCTGGCCCCAGATCCGCTCACACTGGGGAGCGGAGCCACCCCTGGGCTCGCGCTCCGGGAGGTGGCCCCAGGTGCGCAGGGGCGCCCGGAGGAAGGCGGGGGCTCCAGGAAGAAACGAAGCAGGGGAAGCGGAGGGCGCGCCCCGCTCCCGGGCTGACTGCGCTAACAGCGGCCCCGAGGTTGGGGTGCGTCTGCCGCTGCCCCAAGGCTCAATTCTCTGTTCCTCGCTCCCTCTCTAGAAGCCTCCTGAGCCCCCCGCGCCGCGCCCCGTCAGGGGGCCTGCCCACCCCGCGCGCGGGCACCCGGCGTGATTCCTGGGCGATGTAACGGGGGCCTCTCACCTGCGGGCTGACACTGCAGAAGGTCGTCCCCCAGCTTGTAACCGGGCGCGCAGCTGCAGCGCCGCCAGCCCACCTCCTCTAGGCAGTAGTGTGTGCAGCCGCCGTTGTCCAGCGAGCAGTTGAGGAAGCTCACCTCTGCGGGCAGGGCAGGGCGCGGGCAGCTGGCGCTGGCGCCGCGCCCCCCACCCGGCCCAGCCCCGCCCCACCGCCCGCCCGCACCCCCTCTCCCCCTCACCGCGCTGGCAGAAGCGGCCCTCCCAGCCGCTGCGGCAGTCGCAGCTGAAGCTGCCGATGCCATCGATGCACGTGCCGTGCCCGCAGCACAGGCTGCTGCACGGGTGCTCCAAGGGCAAGACCAAGCACTGGTCACCGTCTGCGACACAAGGCGGGGTAGGGGGTCAGCGGCCAGAGACCCCGAGTGGCGCGGGCGCCGGTAGTCCAGCCGGGGATCTAGAACGCACTCACCGACGTGCTTGGACCAGAAGGCCAGCTGCAGGGAGAGCGGGCAGCGTGAGGCGCCTGCAGCCGGTGTGCGGAGAGGGCGCGCCCGGGTGGGGCAGGGCAGCGGTGGGCGGGGAGGGGAGGGCTTCCAGACAAACAGGGATCGACGCCCGATGGTCCTCGGCCCGCTAGGAGCTGGTGCTCCCTGCCCCTCCCCCGCCCAGCCTCCATCCCACGTCCCTGGAGCAACACCCTCTCCCCAGGCAGCTGCAGCGCTGCCCTCACGACTGTCCGCTCCCACAGCAGCCTCTGCCAACGCAAGGGACCCGAATCCCTCGCCAAGTCACTCAGCCTCCTTCCAGCCCCCTCACTCCCTCTGCCCCAGGGCTTTGGGGGGACCCCTGAGCATCTCACCTTTCCCTAAGCCAGTGTTCTTCAGAGTTGGGGGGATGGGGGCAGAGGGTCTGCCTTCCTAACCAGGCACCAGGGTTGCTACTGCCGCTGGTGCTGCTGGTCTGGGACCACCCACCCCACGCTGAGACCCAGGGCCTGTGCCTGATTGCCTGCTCCATCAGGGAGGCTAGCCAAGGCCTGCTGGGGCTGAGAGACCATGGGTGAGGTGGGAGCATGGTGGGGACTTGATGTGATCAGATATGTGCCTGCAGAAAATCACTGTGGTGTCTGCCAGGGAGGCCATTGGGGAAAGAGGTGGTGGGGACGGAGGGGAGCAGATGGGGGTCCAATCAAGGAGGTGGAGGCTGAGGGCAAGAGGGTACAGGCCAGAGGGTCTCCTGCCTTGAAAGCCTCCACTGGAAAGCATCCCTGGATGCCTTGGAAGGGGGCCCAGGTCATGCACAACTTTCAGGTCCTAGTGGCTGAAGCGATCCCCAGGGACAGAGCGGGTCTGAGCCTTGTCTCGGGGAGCCAGCCCTGCTACCAAGCTCACCCTGCTACCTAGGGCCACCTCCACAGGACTCTGGGGGCTCCAAAGGACTCTGACCCTTACACAAATAGGACACAGACCCTGTCTTCTGACCCCCTGAGCAATCAGATTTTCTCCCTTTGATGTGAGGCACAGAGTGAGCGATTTTATGTGGACAGAAGTGTCTTGGTTACACACACCCTGATCAGCAGAGGCATGGGTGGAAGCAGGATGGCCTTTGGGTCTCCTCTTTGTGAGACGGGACAGGGAGGCAGTGGTACTCAGTGGTGGCCAGAGGGTGGACCGAACCACCTGCACTGTGGTTGGTGGGAGTCACCGCCTAGGGTTGCCCCACACTCTTTCCTGGTGCTTCTTCCTGAATTCTGTTTCTTGCGGTCACATGTGCCTGGCCAACACCGTAGGACCAGTATCCTAATCGCTCCACTCAGCCACCCCCACAACTCCCAAGAGGGCCTCAGCATTGCGTCCCCCCCTGCTCCTCCCGGCCCTTGCTGGTCACCAGCTCACCCCTGAGCCTCATCCTCTGGACCCATGGTGGCCTTACTGTGTCATCCACATTTTGGAAAATTTCCTTGGCCTCCTCGAAGTCACAGATCTCCTCTACGCACTCCCGCTCCAGGCTGCTGGGACGGAGCTCCTCCAGGAAGGAGTTGGCGCGTTTGCGGATCCGCAGCACCTGGTGGGCACGCTCGCTGCTGGAGAACACTGAGTCTGGTTTTGGAGGGAGGGGGAGCTCACCTTGGTGGAGGGGCCTAAGGGGGGCTAGGGCCATGAGAAGGTCTGAGGAAGCAGAGCTGGGAGAGCCTGGGAAGGTCTTGTCTTCAGCCCCCTCAAGACTCATTCTAATTCTACGTCATGGCTCTGCCCAGGAATTCTCTGCTCTTTTCCTCCCCAGGAAGCAGATGGCAGTTGGAGGATGAAGCCTTGCTCTGAGATGGATAGGCCTCCCTGTGAACCCCACCCCGACCTCTGTGTGACCTTGAGCCAGCGTCTTTACCTTTCTAAGGTTCAATTTACTCATCCAAAAACATGGGGATAAGACCGTCATGTAAAACATCCAATACAGTCCCTGGCCCAGAGATCAGCACTCAAGCCCTGGCTACTGCTGTAAAGGCTGCCAACTTAAATCATCTCACTGTTCCCTCAGTACACCATGTGCAGCCCCATCCTGACACATCCCCTCCGTCTTCCTCTCCTCCCCCGACCAAGTATTCCCCATGCTCCTCCCCTTGGGCAGGGAGACCTGGAGGATAGACAGACCTATCACCCAGGGAGGGTCCCCAAGTGTCCCCTGGGCTCCGCGAAGTGTTTGTCTTGGGTGCAGGGCACAGTCAGGAGGGAAGGATCAAGTTGGGGGTGTGAGCAAGAGGAGATGGAGGGAAAGGTATCATAGAGAAGGGTATGCCTGAGCTGAGGACACCGCGGGAGAGGGTGGGGATGTGGGTCCCAGGCAGACAAGCAGCTCAATAAAGGCACAAATGAAACCAACAGCCTGGTGTGGCTCTAGGGGCCCATGTGTCCTGCAGACCTCCCCGAGAATCACGGCCTCCTCCCATTGGCTGTGGAGACCAGGAAAGGGGTTGGGGCAGCGCAGCCTTGAGGCCGGTGTGCATTTGCGTAGAACAGGCTGTGCTGGACAGTGTGGGTGGTAGCCTGGGCCTGGGGTCTTCACAGTTGAGGGAGTGAGTGGGTGGAGAGGGAAGACCCAGGGGACTCTGTGACCATCCCGGTGTGGAGGAGGGAGCTTCAGGAGGTCATCGCAGGGCTCCCTGCCATCACGTGTACCTGCCTTGGCAGCCCCTGTGTGGCACTCTGGCAGCTGGCCTACCTGGGACTTGTCAGTCGATTCCTGCCATTCCCATCTGCCCCTCACCTCACCCAGGGCTAAGAGAGATGGTGGAAGCCGTGAAGGCCTGGGCAGATGCCCACCAGGGCCTTGTAGAGGCCACAAGGGTCCTGGGGTAGGGGTGGGGTGGCCTTACCGAGAGGAGCTGGTGTGCTGGAAATTCCCCAGGTAGCCACGAACAGCAGAAGGCCTGTGAGCCGCCACATTCCGGAGGCACTGGCACCTGTCTGAGGAGGACTTCTGAGCTCCGGGCAGTGCCCACCCCCGCTGCTGCTCTGCCTGCACCCCCAGGTGGAAGCAGAATGAAAGGGCTGTCCCTGTGTGCTGGCTGTCAGGGCGGAAGCTGGGATTGAGGGTCCTTGTTCGTTAGACACATAGTCACCCTCAGGAGGCCTCGGCCGCCCGCTGTACGTGGGGCTGAGGTCACACTGCCTGCCCAGAAAGCAGCTCCAAAATGCGGTGGAGAGGGCGCCAGGATGTTTGTGCCCTCCTCGGGGACAGTGGGGTGGCTGCCGCTACCAGTCTGATGACTGGGCTGAGAATATTAGCTAATGTTGATTGGACATTCATGGTGTCCTTCAAACAACTTTTACAGGATTCAGAGGGCAGGCCATGAAGCCAGACTGCGCGGTGCAATTTCTACCTCCAGCACTTACTGGAGGGCAATGTTGGGCAAGATGCTTAACTGCTCCATGCCTCAGTTTCCTCATTTGTAAAATGGATGGAATAACGTGTTGTATTTCTGCCTTAAAGTGTGTTGTAAGAATTAAACAGGCTTTACACACAGCTCATGCTCAGTAAACATGAGATATGACATCAGTTAAGGTTCACAACCACCCAAGAGGTAGCTATTAATGCTGTCAATGCCATTTCATAAAGGGGAAAACTGAGACTCGGACGAGTTAAGTGGTTTATTAAAAATCCAACCCTCACTGGCTTCCACTGATTGCACAGGAAAGTCACCAACCCCGGGGATCGATCAGATTCTGTCCCTCATCCGCCAGGACTAGGGTCTTACACCGTCAGTACACTGTAGGCACCAGACTCGGAAGACTGAGGCCAGGTCCTGGGCATCCATGTTTACATCCGTGTGTTACTCTCAGAGCCAGGACTCAAGGCCAGGACTGTGTGGTTTTAGGCCTGGAACCTCAACCCCTGCCCCAAACGACCCGGTGCCCCACAAGGCCACAGAGATGGCCCTGGTGGCCAGAGAGCAAGGAGCCCTCCCCAGTGGATAGGCCACCTGACCCCCTGCACACCCTGCCGGACCCTGCTCGCCATTCTGGCTGACCCCCTCTGAGGCTGCTTCTGAGATTTGTTCAAATCCGACACCCCCAAAGGTGGAAGTGGGGCGGGGAGAATGGAGGGTCCTGGGCGGCAAACTGTCTGTCGGAATGGCCCTGGGCCCTGGAGACCCTCGGCCTGGAAGGAGGGAGGCGCATGGCAAAGGGACCTGGGACTGTGGCTGCCAGGCCTGGCCTGCGGAGGGCCTTGTGTCCTTTTACCCCAAGCTCAGGCTCGTTGAACACCCTGGCTGGAGGATTCAGCCCTCATCACCACCTAGCTCTCTTCTCCCGGGGGGCAGCCCTCCCTCCACACCCCTCATAGACCTGCCTGGAGGGGGACTCACAGGGGCGGGTCGTGGAGATGCCGCAAGTTCGCCGTCCTGCCGCCATGACAGCCTGGAGTTTGAGTTAATCCATAACCACAAATATTTGCTTGGCCCTCAGCACTGAGGCCTCCCTCTCTGCAGACAAACAGTGGCACTAGCACTCCTGGTCCTAGCTCAGCACGGCTTGGTCTACCCGAAGCCCACCTCTGCCCACCAAGGGTGCCGTCCAGCAGGGAAGGAGGTGAGGGCAAAACCCTTGACAGATGTGGTCTCATTTTAGCCCCATAGTGGCTGGCCGAGGGAGGAACGTTGTCCCTGGTTTTCAGATGGGGACATTTTTACCCAGAGATATTGTAGTTTGCCCAAGATCAGCACAACAGGTAATATTCCATATTTCATCAACTCTAAGATGCCATTAATTATAAGAAGCACCTATTTATGGACCACCATACAAGAAAAAAGACACTGGCCCAGTGACATGCCATCCCAATTTCTGATATGTAAAACATGAGAAGATGCTCCTTTTAGGGTCCCCAGTGCATGGGTGCTGGGCACAGGGCTCCACCCTCACCTTCAATTGCTCACGAGTCCCCCCCACCACCCCTCCCCTCACACATACAACTGCACATAGCATCCCTCTAACCTCTACTTTTCAGGTAAGGACACTCAAGTCTTGCGTTACTCGCCCAGATTCACTGAGCTGGTGGTTGACAGATTTAATTTAAACCCAGGTCTTGCTGCTTCCATTTGGTCCCTTTTGTGAACCAGTAAGAAAAACGAACGGGATTCCAGAAGGCTGCAGCAATTTCCTGGCTGGGGTGCCAGAAGGGAGAAGGGCAGAAATAAAGGGTCCAGCTCAGCACCTTTGCCTTTGTCCTGCAGTCTATCAGCATTTACTAAGTGTCTTCCTGCTCCGAACCAGGCTGCACCAGAGATGCCCCCCTTTCCTCCCTGCCCCACCTGTTCCTGGGAAGATTTGCCCACATTCCTCCTCAAAGTCTGCACCTCTAAACGGGGCGAGTGACCCTGCCTCGCTGGCTTCCGTTGATTGCACAGGGAAGTCATCAACCCAGGGGATCGATCGGATTCTGTCCCCCATCCTCCAGGCATAGAGTCTCACACTGTCAGTGCACTGTAGGCACCAGACTCGGAAGATTGAGGCCAGATCCTGGGCATCCATGTTTACGCTTAAAGCAGAGGAAGCTGATGAGAAGAAAGATGCAGGTGTGCAGAGGGAGGCTGAGGCCGCGTACACCTGGAGAGCCCCAGGGAGCAGCGGAAAGAGGCCCCTGCCTCCTTCTGATTGGTGGCACTTCCTGGCTTCGGGTGCAGGAGGGTCCCCATGCCCTCCTAAAACCCTCTTCCTCCTGAAGTTTCTTCAAATTGGCTGGAACAGCTTGGGTTGATTGTAACCAGATGCCTCCTGCTGAGGCACCACACCATGCTGGGCTGTGGTGGTACCAGGCCCTCCTAGTAAAACTCTCACAAGCCAGGCCCACCTTGCAGGGCGCAGGGGCAGGCACACAAGGGAAATGCTTACAGAATTCAGAGGACAGGGCAATCAGTACAAACTGGCATAGCCAGGGGAGGCTGCCTGTAGGAGGTGACACTTCAGCTGGACATCAAAGGACAGACAGGAGGAAAGCCCCCCTCCCGCCTCACCCCAGGCCGGGAGAGAATGGGCAGACACAGAACACAAGCAGCTGGGAGGTGCTGGGAGGGGCAGAGGTGGAGAGGAGGTGGAGGTGGAGAGGAGGTGCAGGGTGAGGCAATGGATTTTGGAATTGAGACTATGAGAAGTGGAGAGCCAGGAGCTGTTTGTGACAGGCTGTGGTAGCTGCCTAGAGAAGCAGAGACAAGCTCCTGGGAACTCAGGCAGGAAGCATGAAGACCCCATACACAACCACACAAGGCACCAGCTTGTATGTCCCCGTTCTTGCTCCAGGCGTCGCCCCCGCAAGTCTGCAGGGATCACTGCCGTCTGCTTTGCCTTCCAGGCCCAAGATGTTGTGGGTATTCTTTCGGCGCCGCTTCCCTTCCCCACCGACTTCTCGCCCTCCACTCCTCCCCACCCCAGCACAGGCAGCCGCTCCAGGGCAAGTCTATGCAGGCTCCACACACTGATTCTGACCTGCATAATGGACTCTGCCCGGGCACCCATGTCCAAACCAGCCCAGATGCCCAAAGCACGGGCACCGGTACGAGCCAGGACGGCTGCAGTGCTCCCAGGTGCCCAGTGCTGGGGGTTGGGGGTGCCACGGCTTGGGAGGCTGCCCAGAGGGCGGGAGGGTCCTCTGCAGAGCTCTGCACGCCTGTCGGCCGACGGGGGCTCTGCACCAAGGGCTGCGTCACGGACTCCTCTTCGGCCTGCAGCGCAGGAAACCCCGTCACCTCCTCGAGGCAGGGTCGGTCCTGCCGCCAGCCATTCCTGTGATCCCAATGGTCTCTGCAGTTACCCTGGGTTCCAGCCGGCGGCGCCGCGCCACCCCGCTCCTGCGGAGGAACCAGGCGCCCTTCACAGGCGCGGCCTCACCCGCTTGACTTGCCAGGTGTCAGCCGCCCCACGTGGGCCCGAACGCGGTCAGCTGCACCCAGGAAGCCAGAGCAGGACTTTGGGCAGCAAGATTGCTGTGAGTTAGAAAGCAGAGGGACATCTGTGGCTGAGGAATTCGCTGCATCGATGAAGACCCAAGCAAAGGAGTAAGAACCAAATGCATGTGGGGCAAGGCCAGCCACAACTAATGGTGTTCCAAAGACTTCACCTCCGAAGTCAGGTTCACACGGCCGTAAACCTCCGCTAGCCTTTTTCTGACAGGGGGATTTAACTTCCCTGCGTCTCAATGTCCACATTTGTAAAACAGGGTCAGTGTCCATCTCAGGTGACTGTTATAAGGGTCACGTTAAATATTTTATTAATTTTTTAATTTAAAAAACTTCTTTGAGACAGGGTCACTCTGGCTCTGTGACCCAGGCTGGAGTGCAGTGGTGGGATCACAGCTCTCTGCCGCCTAGACTTCCTGGGCTCAAGCGATTCTTCGGTTTCAGCCTCCTCAGTAGCTGGGATCACAGGCCCGTGCCGCCACGCTCAGCTAATTTTAAAAAATTTTTAGGAGAGAGGAGGTCTTGCTGTGTTCCTCTAGAACTCCTGACCTCAAGTAATCCTCCCTCCTCAGCCTCCCAAAGTGCTGAGATTACAGCGGGAGCCACTGTGCCTGGTCTTATTTTTAAGTATTTTATACAAAGCGAACGTGGCCTGGGACTTAACAGTTGATCACTCCACAATAATTTCCTCTCTCAGCTCCCCAAATATCCTGGAGAGAAAAGTCAGGTACCACACGGAGCTTTGTGGGGATCAAAGCCAGGTGATAACGCGCGTTGCCCTTCCCACAGGCCTGGGAAGGGGTCAAGGACAGCTGCTGCCGTGTGGAAGCTCAGACTGCACAGATCTGTTGTACAGATCAGGGCCGATCATTCAGGCAGCAGTAATCTGTACGACACTCCCCACCCCTTGTGTTTGGCCCTGGCTCTGCCGATAGGTGCCAGTAACTCAACTTGAGTTCCCTCTGCTGGATAGTGATGAGAGATGGGCTGGTGGTCAGGGCTGACTGGACTAAGGTTCCTTCTCACCCCATGCCACCCCCCTGTGTGGGCACTGCCCATTCTCCATTCTCTCTGCAGGGACGCTGTGCTGCTCAGCCCACCCCAAGCAGGGCAGGGAGGGGAGACACTAGAGAGGCTCCCGGGAGCTCCTTGGTAAGAAGTGGTGTTGGATGGATGCAGTCCATTGTCTCTCTCTTTTTGTTGTTGTCAGGTTATTGTGGTATAATTTACATACAGAGAAACTCACACTTTAAAAATGTACAGTTCTGCTTGTTTTGACAAATGTATGTTATAGTGCAGCCACCACCACATCAATATAGGACATTTTCATCACCCTCAGAAATTCCGTGTTCCACCCCAACTCTTGGTAACCACTGATTGGATTTCATCTCTATAATCTGCATTTTCCAGAATAGCATATAAAGGGAATCATACACAGCACATATCTTTTTTTTTTTTTTTTTTTGAGTTGGAGTCTTACTCTGTCGCCCAGGCTGGAGTGCACTGGTGTGATCTCGGCTCACTGCAATCTCCACCTCCTGGGTTCAAGCGATTCTCCTGCCTCAGCCTCCTGAGTAGCTGGAATTACAGGCACATGCCACTACACCCGGCTAAACTTTTTGTATTTTTTAGTTTCACCATGTTGGCCAGGCTGGTCTTGAATTCCTGACCTCAAGTGATCCGCCCACCTCAGCCTCCCAAAGTGCTGGGATTATAGGCATGAGTCACCGTGCCCAGCCAGTACATAGCTTTTTAAGACTGCCTTCTTTCACTCAGTATAAAGCTTTTGAGATTCATTCAGTGTGGATGTCTATATCAGTACTTTATTTCTTTTTATTGCTGACTGGTCTCCATTATATAGATGTACCACAATCTGTTATCCATTTGCCAGTTCTTGGCTATCATTAGATGAAGCTGCTAGAACATTTATGTACAGGTCCTTGTGTGGGCATATGTTTTCATTTCTCTTGGGTAATATCTAGGAATGAGATTGCTGAGTCATGTGGTGAGTACATGTTTACTTTTGGGAAAAAAGAAAATAAAGTCAAACTTTTCCAGAGTGGTGGTGGCATTTTGCATTCCCACCAAGCAATATCTGAGTGTTCCTGTGACTCTGCATCCTCACCAGCATTTGGTGTTGTCGGTTGTTTTTTAATTTTAATTTTTAGCCTTCTTAATAGATGTGTAGTGGTATCTCATTGTAGCTTTAATTTTCATTTCCCTCTTCTCTGATGATTTTGAGCATCTTTTCCTGTGCTAATTTGCTATTTATATCTTCTTTGGTGAAGTGCCTGTTTAAATCTTTGGGCTGTTTTTTGTTTCTTTGTTTTTGAGGGTTTTTTAAATTGAGTTTTTAGAACTTGTATGTATCCTAGTAACAAGCCCTTTGTCAGCTAAGTATGTTGCAAAAATTTCCTCCCAGTCTGTGACTTGTCTTTTATACTTAACAGTGTCTTTTAATGAACAGATGTTTGTAATTTTGATGAAGTCCAATTATCAACATTTTCTTTTATGGTTCTT